CCCCGGCCCCACAAAAAAAAAAAAAAAAAAAAAAAAAGTACTGTAAGTTCAGGATCTGCAACTGAAATTAATTGCCTTCTTCCCTACTACAGAAGTTTCCTCAGATGATCTTGCATGTCTCTGTGGAAGGAAGGAACAAGAAAGGCCTTACAAAGCTCTAAGTAATTGTTTCATGAGCTTTCCCTCACTTCTTCCATGTTTTGAGGAGCGAACAAGTTAACATTTAAGTAATCAGCAGCAGCATGTTGCACATGGCTTGAAATGACAGCTCTGACGCAGAGACTCGGGCAACTGCTGTACTGGTAACCTTTAGAAATGAGAAGAATAGACTCCAGCTGCTGCAGACACTGAGAGTACAACTTACAGAATGAAAACTGGGGCACTGGTGAACAACTGAGATGCCTTTAGGTGATTTCCTGGGTAAGGCTTTTGAACTGCCACTGTGCTTTGGGAAATGCTGCGCTAACCCACAGACAAAGTGCGTTTGTGCGTCTTTGCTGTGTTTTTCTTGTATGTTGTTGTAGGATGTCACACATAGTCTTGTGTAGGTAAGTTGCAGAAATACAGACATTTCAACGCTAAAAGGGGCAACTGCGATTACGTACTTGTTTTTACTTAATTTAACTTGCTTACAATGCAGGGCCATCTTTCATTTGAGTCTAGTAAATAGTATTGTTGAATGACAGCATATCTGTAAAAATCTGTTTAGATTCTGACTTAATAGTTCATTAAGTAGGCCAAGTTAGTTTGGGCATACTTAACTATGGCTTCTAATGTAATTGATTTTCCTCTCCTTTTCCTCTTCTATTATTTCTTCATGTAATTAATACAGTGATCTGAGGGTTTCCTTCTAAAGCTCTTTGTTTATATTATGTTCCATTGGTGCTATTACAGCAAAATTGTGACATTTAGGAAAATACAGCTACAAACAACAGACACCATTTCAAGTGGGGACTAAGACAACTGGTACATGGCTGTTCCTCTTCTGGTTGGTGACAGCTGCAGCACTAATACAGACTGTTACCACAGACCTTCCCAGCCGTACCCAGGCACCATCCCCCAGGGCAGCAGGTCCTGCTGCTAATGCCCAAGCAGCAGAGCTGAAATCATCACTCTGGGTCACTGAGCAGGGAACCGGTCCTGGGTTTTGGTTCCTGCACCCCGTTATGGAAGTGTGGGACACACCAGCGTGGCTGCTCTGGCGGTGAGGGGTCCGCTGGGTTTTGGTAACATGGCAGGAACTTCCCCAGTCCCACTGGGGGAAGTTAGGTGGGGGCTGTGTGCATCGGGGGGGGGGGGGGGGAGGTGGGGGGGGGGGGTGTGCGGGGGGGGGGGGGGGGAAGGGTTGAGGGAAGTGGTAACACAGAGCAACTGCAGTGTCCTGCACGTAAATACACATCAACTGCTGTAGGATGGTGGGCTGGGCCAGGGCATACCTGTGTTTCTGTTCATTGCTACTTCCAACAGACACGCTTGTGAAATACTGCATTCCTGCACAAAGAGTTAAGGGTACCTAAGGCAGCACACCTAATCCATACGTGCCTCCTGGCAACTGGAGGTGATAGGCGGTGGGTGAGCAGACATTTAATTAGGCAAGGCTTAAGGAAAACAGAAGCACTAAAGAGTGAGACTCAGCCTGTGTTTCACACACACATGCAGTCTCATCCTGGAGTAAGATGAGAAGAGAGGCCAAGATCCCTGTGTGATACTGCAGCGCAGGGAAACTACGATGAGCCCACCAAACCTGGCAAATGGAGATGGTAGGAAGAAGCAGGGCCGTAATACACTTTGTTGCCCACAAGTAAAGCTATTGCTAATCCAGCAAGGGCTCCGAACTTTGTAAACAAAAACTAAAATCCAGCAAAGTTCATTTATAAACAAGTGGGAGATGCTCCTGAGGCCAACAGTCTGTACTCAGTTTGCTGGAGAGACGAGCCTGAACTTTGGGTTCTGAGAAGCCAGTGACAGCCATGACAGCCCGGCCCTGCAAGCTGGTCCTGGGTCTGCGCCTGCTCCTGCCAGCACTTCTCATCCCCATCAAAGCCAGGTGCTGATGTGTAAGCCTCACTGCCAGAGTGCAACAGGAGGAGCTGGGTGTCCATGCATAGCACACGCATGCGTGTGCGTGCACACACACATGCGTGGTCAGAGCCGCTGGCCTATCACTAATGGAGTTTGACAGGGAGAGAGCAAAGCGTGCAACTGTGCAACCAAGGAACCTGAGGCAGTTTTTCTTGCAAGAACAGGATGGGAATGAAATCACATGGGCACGAGGTGATGCCCACCATCCACCACAGCTCCTGACATCCCCAGGCAGTGCAGCGGGACTTCAGACTCTCTCTTTGCTCAGGTGATGCAAAAGGAGGATGGATTGGATTACTGGAGAATTGAGAGGCTTCAGAAGAATAAAGGGACTCAGCACAGAAACAGTCCCTTGTGTTGGCCTGGATGCACTTGAGAGGTCTTCAATTTTGATAACTTACTAGTGAGTTACTCCTGAGAGGTCCACACCAGGTACCAACGCACTCTGAAGAGTCACTTTGCATTTTTTTGCACATCAACAAACAGCAAGAGAAAAGTTATCCCCTGCTACAGCCAGAAAGGCAGGGAAAGAATATTTATTTTATCTAATCAAAATAAAGCTGACTTTGCACCTGGTCAGCTCCCTGAAAACCTTCAGCCTGCTCTTCCCAATGGTCTCTGGGGAGCAGCACAGGGTCTATAGGGAAAGAGGCAACAACTAAAAAACTGCTTGCTGCTCCTGCAGCCACAAAGTGCTTCGGGTGCAGTTCACCTCACTCCCAGCAAAGGCCATCAGCATGACGGACTGCAGAGAGATCAGGCACATCTGCAGGTGAGTTTTAAATCCCAAGATTTAAAGAGAAGACAACGGGGGGAAAAGGACAACTGTGCTTTTTTGATAAACTGGCCTCTTGTGGCAATGAGGGGCAGAGCATGTGATGAGCAGACTGAGCAGTAGGTGGGAGATGCAGGCAGGGAAGGCTCAAGGATCCCATCAAGATGAGGGGAGATGCTTCAGAAGAGTCTGATATGTCTCACATTTCCACTCAGGTCAGCAGTAATTGTTAAACATGTTAGATGTTAGTTACCTTCTACAAAAAGTAGTCCCTTGTATTAAAAAGACAGTTGAGAAACAGTTTCATACTGTAACTGTCATTCATCTTGCTAAATCTCTCCCTTTCCACTCACCAGTGTCCCTGTCTTTTCCTCTATACACTCCCCAAAGTTTGTTGGGTCCAAATAGTTTTTAGAAGTCATCAAATGCTGAAAATAGAAAAAAAACATATTGACCTGCTTAACTTAGAAAGCTCTGACACCTCTTGGTGAAGTTGTGGGTTGGCATCATTATCCAGATGGTAACACTGCTATCCCTTTCTGACTTCAGCTCCTTGCTTTGAAAAAGCCCTTGAAAAAGATGACAGAGATAACCAGATCCCTTCAGATGAAAGGGAGAAGCTTTACCCTAAAAGCAGCACCTAAATCCACTCAATGTCAGCCCTTGATAATCCTTAGCCAGACTGTTATTCCCCATCAGATCAAACAAGGGAATGAGATTTAGGCTATGCTAAGTGCCAAACCCCAGTATTAAGAGTCTTGCTGTCACACCTTCCAGCAGCTTTTATCTTTTTTTCTTTCTCTCCTGCCTCAAAAGAATCCAATTTAACTGGCAAAACCAACTCCATCAGTGGCAGCCACTGTCCTCTCACAACTCAAAAAGCAGCTAAAAGGAACCTGGCGAATTGTCTGGTGGCCTCAGAACTGCCCAGACCCTTCTCCTTCCCAGCAGAAACCAACCGCTGACAGAAGTTGATATTTGTCAGCTCTCTTCTGCTGTGCTTGCTCTTTTACTGTGGCTTTGTTTGCGTTGTTTCAAAGAGACAGGGTCAAACTTCATCAATATGATCAACCCAGAAGCATCTTAACTAACTCTCTTTTCTGCTCAAAAGACAACCAATAATTACTACTCCGTCAATACTATAAGGTGAATTCTTGGGCATTTTTCTAAAACGGACCTTGTATAGCTTGACATTAAACAATGAAAATACAAGCTTTCTCAATATTCCAAGACTAAATGCATTCACTATTTTCCCATGTCCCATGCTTGCATCTCTAAAAAAAAGTATTAAAAATGCTCTAAAGCCGAACGTTGAAATGCAATTCATAATCAGTAACTTTACCCGAAATGCTAAAACAAAAGCTTGGTTCTTCTCAAACAGTGAGTTTCACTAATGGTAAGCACCGACTTCTCACCAAATATAACATTTATGTCAGGATCCCCTGACGTGTCAGCCTTCAACTTGTGAAGGTTATTTTGCAAATGCCACATATCCCATTCGTGGGGATTTCACTGTAAGCCTGGGGAAACAACTGATGGGAACTGCAGTACCAAGAGAATGAACAAGTCATGAAGAAACACCTACCACCAAACAGAGGACATGGGCACCTCCAGAGCAGAACTGGCCCGGCGAACTACCTGCTTCGTGTACCCAACGAGGCAGAGCAGCAGTCTGCCTCCCATGTGAACAGGTGTAAGAAAGCAGCCAGAGGGGCTTCACGCTGAGTGAGAGGATGAAAAGCTGCTACAGCTGCTAAAGGCTGGGAGCCAAGAGGCAGCCGCAGTCACCTGGAGCTTCATACCCTACCTGGTGGCCATGCAACAGCTCATAATCATGGTGAAGCTGTGATCATCTCAGGAAACTCTCTTCTGCATTGCTGCCCGTGGTAACGACACCATGGTGACAGGCCAGGAAGCCTGTCCGTCCTATTAGGAACAGCATTCCTGGTAACGAAAGGCCCGGGTAGTAAAATGGCAGAAATCATGAATCCAGGGAGAAAGATGTTAGGAGTCCAGAGAATAACAGTGAGGTTGCTTCAGAGTGCGATGGAAGAATGCACTGGGAGAGGCAGTTACCAACTCTTAAGAGTGCAATTTCAGGACTGCAACATACAGAAATATGGACAGGACTGAAAGCTGCTTACAGAAAAGGAAGATGGTTGTTGCTGCACACAGCCAGATTTCAGCTCAGGGTGGCTGAGCTGTGCAACTTGCAACAATATGCTTCACTGAAGTTGCTGAGATGCCTGCATGAGTATACCTCATTTTGGGAGAATGCAGGTTTTATGATAACATTTTTGTAAACTTTACCAGTCCTAGCTCAAACAAGCTTTTGTAAACTATGCTGGCAGTACAGAATTCAATTCAGATACACTAGTTTACCATTAAAATCTGGTCTTAAAAAAGAGGTAGGCTTGCTCCTGTAGAGGACACTGTAAAAACACTAGTCCATAAGTAGTAATGGAAAAATAAACGGCATCATGGGTGAAAGCAGTATCATCAAGTCTCCAGCACAGAAGAGATCACAGCTGTTGTCATATAAAAAGATGTAATTTATAGTTACATTACCAATGTTTAAGAAGATGGAAGAAACCCTGTTTATGTAATATATAAAACATTCTCTTGAAGGGATTAGACTAAATAATGCCCTAAATTCAGCATCTTTCAGTCTAATAAAGGACATAAAACCTGTTCAGCAATCTGTTTCTATTTTAAAAGACAAGCTATGGTATACATTACAAATATTGTTTGTAAAAGAGAGCTATGGAAAGAGGGTTGGTGGGATGTTCTGCATATATTAATGCTTCATTAAAAATGCCATAAGAAGTAAGGAAAAAAATAATCTAAGTTTAAGATGCCCTCCCACATAAGGAAAAGGATTTTAAAGCACTTATTAAATTACTTCACTTGCTTGAGCAAAAACATGAGCTTTCTTGGAAATCAGGACAAGCTGATTATATAAGACTCAGATAGTTCTTTTTTAAAATGTTATTTCAACCCATGAAAATTTATATCTCCAGCTAAAAGGAAAA